GTGGTTAACGTACTCCTATTGTAATACTTTTTAAAGCAAAAAATATATTTATTTATTATATTTTAAAAAGAAAACAAGCTATCATTTTTTTATTTTACATACCAATTCCAGTTCCTACTCTCTCCCCTCCTCCAATTCCCTCAAGCTACCTCCCTACCCCACTACCAATCCACTTCTCAGAGAGGGTAAGGCACATTGTTTTAAGGAATGTCAAGGCCCTCCCTACTATATCTAGGTTGAGCAAGGCATCCATCCAAACGGAATAGGTTCTAAAAAAGCCAGTACAAGCAGTAGGGATAAATCCTGGTAACACTGCCAGTGGCCATGCAGTCTATCCCAGCCATACAACTGTCACCCATATTCAGAGGGACTAGTTTGGACCTATGCTGCTTCCATTCCCTGTGCAGCTGGAGTTGGTGAGCTCCCATTAATTCAGGTAAACTGTTTCAGTGAGTGTACCCATCATGGTCTTGACCTCTGTGCTCATATTCTCACTCCTCTCACTCTTTGACTGGACTTTAAGAGCTCAGTCCAACGCTCCGATGCAGGCCTCTGCCTCTGTTTCCATCAGTTGTTGGATAAAGGTTCTATGGTGATATTTAAGATATTCATCATCAGTCTGACTACAAGGCAAGGCCAGTTCAGATACCCTCTCCTCTATTGCTTAGGGTCTTAGCTGGGGTCATCCTTGTGGATTCCTAGGAGTTTCTCTAGTACCAGGTTTATTGCTAGCCCTATAATGGCTCCCTCAATCAAAATATCTCTTTCCTTGTTCTCATCTCTATTCTTCCTCCATCTCAACTATCCTGTTCCCTCAAGTTCTCCTCCCCTTCCCCTTTATCCCTCCTCTTCCCCTCCCACCCTCCCTGCTCCCCTTACCCCCATGCTCTCAATTTTGTCAAGCAATCTTGTCTATTTCCCCTTTCCAGGTGTATCTATGTATTTTTTAAGGTTTACCTTGTTACTTAGCTTCTCTAATATCATGAACTATAAGCTCAATATCATTTGCTTTACAGCTAGTATCCACTTATGAGTGAGTACATACCATGTTCATCTTTCTGGGTCTGGCTTACCTCACTCAGGATATTTTTTTCTAATTCCATCCATTTGCATGCAAATTTCAAGATGTCATTGTTTTTTATTGCTGAGTAGTACTCTCATGTGTAAATGTGCCATATTTTCTTTATCTATTCATTAGTTGAGGGGCATCTAGGTTGTTTCCAGGTTTTGGTTATTGCAAATAATGCCGCTATGAACATAGTTGAACCAATGTCCTTGTAGTATGATTGAGCATCTTTTGAATATAGGCCCAAGAGTGGTATTGATGGGTCCTGAGGAAGGCTGATTACCAATTTTCTGGGAAACCGCCATACTGATTTCCAAGTTTGTACAAGTTTGCATTACCACCAGCAATGGAAGAGTGTTCCCCTTACTCCACATCCTCTCCAGCATAAGCTATGATTGGTGTTTTTGAACTTAGCCATTCTGACAAGTATTTCAAAAAGGCGGCCTACTAAATGGGAAAAGATCTTCACAAACCCCACATCAGACAGAGGACTGGTCTCCAAAACATATAAAGAACTCAAGAAATTAGACATCAAAATTCCAAAGAACTCAATTAAAAAATGAAGTACAGAACAAAACAGAGAATTCTCAACAGAAGATTCTCAAATGGCTGAAAGACAGTTAAGGAAATGTTCAACATCCTTAGCTATCAGGGAAATGCAAATCAAAACAACTCTGAGGAAAAAAAATTAAAGAAAATGTTATATGAAAAAATACGTTCAAAGCAACTACAAGAATTGTCTTCTAAAAAGTCGGCACATCTTGTTTAATTCTTTATGCCATTTTCCTAACACTCAGAATTGTCCTAGATATATGGTAGGTATTCAACTTATAAAAATAAATGAGTGAATAAGAAATTTGAGGGAGTCCAGCACTGGATTACCAGTGAAACTGGGGTCCCTCTCTGGGCTCTTACTCTTTTTAATAAAAGAACTTAACCATTCAGATGAAAGGTCAGGGACAATTTCAATAGCACTTAAAAGGAAAACCACAAGGCAGCCTTGCTGTAAACCTCCGAGGCTGCCTGGAGGAGGGAGATGGAAGAGAGAAAACGAGAAAGCCATGATTTGGAGGTTAGGTATGGAGGTTCAGCAAGCAACCATGCGACAAAAGGGAGGTGGCTTAAGAGAAAGAATGAAAAGCCCAAAGTATGAGGAAAAGTTAACTTAGGTCCTGGCCTGTCTCCAAAAGAAAAAAAGAGAGAGAGAAGGGAACAATAGAGCCTTTCTGAATCGGGCCTTACACATAGCAGAGTTTCAGAGTGGCTCTGGGGCAACTGCACAGCAAACCAGGACACTAGGCAGAAAAAGTATATGATCTCATTAAGAGGATATTATCCCTTCCATCTCTTTAGCATGATATGAGCTGAACCTGCCTTCTTGGGGGGTAGTTCCTTAACTAGGTGATTTATTGGCCCTGCTGGATTACCTCTTACCTTTTGTGTATCTTAGACTACTAGGTGCTCTCCCTTCAGGCCAGAGGAAGTCCCCATTCTGTTGACTAGATGGAAACAGCTTTTCCTTAATGTCCTCAGCAGAGAGCCCTGATTAAGGTTACTATAACAGACAAACATAAACTATGGAAACTCATGAGTTTCCATGGCCTCTCCACTGAAATAAAAGGAAGTTTTACTGGTGCGGTATTACTGGAATACTTTGAACTTTCTGCCAAGTAAAGATTGCCCTTTGACACTTAAGGTTAGATAGAAAACACAAGTTGCTGCTGGGAAAACCCATCTTATAACCCCCTGCCAAAAATACAAAATCCCCTTATTTCACAATCTGAGCATCAATCTGCTTCTAAAGTCTGTCTTTATTTTCACAGTTTGATCTACTTTTCACCTCCTTCCTTAATTCTGGAAATAAGACAGAAGATACAAGGTGGGCATATACCCAGAGCAGGCTCCAACTGAAATATATTGGGAAACTGCAGGAAATTTTGGTGATGTCAGACTATGCAGGACCCTAGATTTCAAATTGAGCATTCTAGTCTTAGACCTGTAATTTGTGGAAAGCCACTGAAGTTTTACAATACTGGATAAAAATGCAGATCATATTATGAGAATGCCAAATTCAAGTCATTGGTAAAGTTTTGAAAGCTAACCACTAAATAGTAACGTATCCAGTGGTACTTGTTCAGAGGGAAAGGGGGGGGTATGTGTAGGCAGGAATGAATAAATATGCTACTCTTCCCTGTTCCTCACTTTCTGACATACCCTGAATAAGAAGGTATTGGAAGTACTGAAAAGTATAGAAAATTGTAAGGTAATACAAAAAAAATGAGGACCCTAAGTCCTCCAAAACTCCTCTCTGGGCCCACCCTTTCAGCATGCTTCCTTATTCTTTCTTGAATCTGTGTGGAAAACAATGGCACTATGAGCTCAAAATGCTTAAATTTCTACATGTGAATGTTAGTGTATAGAAAGGTGAAATGCTACTTTATTTCCCTCAAAAGGAATAGTTTTTATCGATAAAAAAGTCTGCTTAAAGACTTTCCACAGTCAAATTCTGTAACTGAACTAATCAAGGAATCAAAGTTTCAGGGTACAGTAAACCCTAAATTTGTATGTCCTGGTGCTATCAAAATGCTGGCAATTTAATAACAAGATGATAGTTGTATCAGCCTGGGTTTATTTTTCTTGGGATCTACTCTTCTCACAGCAGGGACATGATTTTTTGGTTCATCAAAGAGCTTTTGATAAGGTTCTCACAAGTCCCTATTATTGAGATTTGGTAACCATGGTGTGAAAGAAAAAATCCTATCAATGAATTAAATGAATTAAAAATGCTTAAGAGACAAAGGGGCAAAATGTAGAAATGAATGGGTAATTCTCATGTGGAGAAAGGTTAATCATCCAGGGCTGTGAATCTTTGCAGTAGAATCAGAATTATACTTAGCTATTGATAAGGAAAGGGGCACCCATTTTTCATCCTCATACTCAGTGTGAATTAGTCCCACACACAGACGCTCCATTGACACAAAGATCACATGACACAACGGAAGAGATAGAGTGTAGAGAAGTGTTTAAAATCCAGAAAGAACAAATCGGTAAATGGATATCCAGAGTTTCATGGAAAGATCTCAGATTTCAAGACAAAGAAATAAAAGTATTGCAAGCATGTTTTTACTTTCTAAGAATCGGTTTCCATTACAAGAAATCACATGGGCATTTGAACAAAGTCTTAAGACACTGTAATGGCTAAAGTCAATCTTCAGCACTGGATGACAACACATGTAGGCATTTGGAGTCACAAAACCCACAAAGACTTCCTACAGCCTGAGAAATTTAGAAGCAAGCAAAGTGATAGAAAAGAGTAAGGTTACCTTTTTATACAAAATTCAAAAGTTGGTATATGTTTTCCAAAAATATAACCTAACATGAATCGATATTAGAAATCAAACACTCAGTTAATACAATTCTTTAATGACTTGTTACTTAAGCTAGCATTTTCCGTCACAGAAACTCATTCAAGGGCTCAGAAAATCTAATGAACTCAGTATCATCTTCACATATTTGGGTTTACTTATCTTTAAAATGGGAACGATAGCACCTACTTCACAGGATGGTCAAAGGGTTAAATGAGATGATATACAGAGCATTTAACACAGTGAAACTACAACTAATATTAAATTCTTGCTGTGCCTATTGTTAGCAGTTTATAATATGCTAAATCCACTTATATACCACAAAGAAGCAACCTAGTTGAAGTCACTGTGACTTTGTTTATGCCATTGTTAGGAGCTGGTATTTAAATGCTTTCAGATTGCTTTCCAATGTTTTGTTTATAACAACAACAAACTATTTTAAGATGTCTTTTCATTAACCAGTTTAGGAAATGAAGAGAATTACAAACTGATATAAAGATCAAAAGGGCCCACAAAGCCTCTCACAATGAGAATCACATAATTCATTTAGACATTGGGTCCAAGCTTACCGTGCAGATAGGATTTTAACAAGCTCTTTTCTATTCTGCACCCGAAGATGGTTCGTTTTATACTTGGGATCATCAATCAACTCTGGCAAATTCAAGACCTAAAAGGAAAAAAAATGGTATAATTCCCAAGTTTTTCACACCTTTAGGTCCTGGTTTGTCGCAGAATTCAAGATCTGCCTCTCACTTCTTTTCTTGTCTTCACACTGCTCTACAGGGGCTGGAAGCAGCAACATACAACTGATGGGATCATACTGGTGCATGAGTCTTCTGAGTTAATTGTATGAGAGTGCTTTACTATATTTATGCATATATTTGTATGCACGCATACAGAAGAACACAGAAATTATCAGATGCCCATAATGTCATATTTTATGAATAGAGACAAGTTATCAAATCCTCAGAAAAAGTCTTATCTAGAGGAACATGAACAAAGTCCCAAAACTAGATAAAACTAGCCTAGTTCTAACAACAAAAGCCTTAAGTTAAGTGCCTACATTCATTTATTTAAAACCTACAGTCAACACATATCTTAGGGCACAGAACTATTTGTTCCACATGTCAACAAAAATATATAATCTACCCAATAGTCTTATTCAGAATATTGTATACGATGCAAAAATAAAGGGAAGCATATCTATTTGTCCAAATTCTAGCTGTTCAAACAACATCAAATTAAGCATCTTTCTACGGGCATGTCACTATTCTTCTTTAGTTTGTTGCCCTGACTAGGAAGGCTGTAATACACTTCATCCTCCCCTATTTCTCACTAAAGGGAAAATCTAAGGTAGCAAATCTCTTTGGATGTCATGTAATTTTAACACAACCATAGTGATGGAACCAAGTACATTTGAAAGGAAAAATCTGAAAGAAAGTGTGGAGACAGAGTTTGGCAGTTGTATTGGAAAGTCAAAAAGAGCGTGTATGGGCTGGAGGTAAGCCAGGTGCCCTAAAGAAAGCCTTACTTGCTTTATTACTGTGTTTGCTTTCAATGTAAACACTTAATGGTTTCACTTGTATCCCATAGTTTAAATAAAATCAATCCACTAATCATCTTCCAGAGGAGAGAGAAGCGGGAAGATTCTTCAGAGTCAAAGACCAGCCCAGTGGTGTAGGTGCTTTCACATCTGCCACTTATGTCTCTCAAAGGCAGCATTACTCTGAAGGATTTTTAAAAGTGATACTGAATACAGCGCCCTTTCTAGAACCTCCCTGACACCACACCTGATCCCAGAATTGGTCTCAATGCCTGTCCTAGTCACAAGCCTCCTTCTGAAGATTGAGTCTTCAAAAAAAACCAAGTTCCTCCCTTTGTAATAGTAACAGTAATATGCCTAATTTGCATGTCAGGCTGCATATAAAGCATGCTGCTGTCAGTTACATAAAGACACTGGGTGACTGTTCCAGGGGTCTTGGATGCCCATGTGTCCTCTGCTTTTGACTTACTGGACTTTTTGTTTTTCAAACATTATGCAAAATTGTAGGCCTATGTAAGTTCACATCTTTCCTCAGCACTGTTGGTTGTCTAGACAGACAGTGCCAAGGGCAGTGAAGGGAACTATTCTATGGGTGCTTGAACAGCTGTGCTACAACCTGGACACCTATGTTGTGGTGCATACACCCCCCCCCACACACACACAAGGAATAAGTAAATGCTCTTAAAAAGAATTATTATAACATGGCTTTTAGATAAGACAAAAGTCAACAATAGCAAGTTCAGACCACTCAATATCCCCTCTGCTAGTGCAGGTGCTAGCTAATTCCTTGGACAGGGACTTGCTACAAAAAGGTTTGAGATGGGAACATGCAGTCGCTTCCATGACAGCCCCACTTTAGCTCTCTTTGTGACATCTCTGCTTTAGTTTTGTGCCTTTGACCATTCTCTTACTTTAATCTGCCAGTCTCATTATACTTGAAGTGGATTTACTGGTTAGAGCATAGAACTGAATCATGAATTATCTTCTTAAATAAATCATACACAATAAAATATCCTAAAAGGAAGTCGATCTAGTCAAAATGTAACATACCGAAGTCATTGTTTCATAGGAAATTAAGAACTGGCAGAACTGATGTGTGATGATTAGAGAAAAGCCTGGCTCAACTAACTCACATTCCTACCAGCAGTGAATTAATTACTTTCACTCTCATCATCACCAGCAATTTGTTTTTACATTTGTAATATTCTTTGAAAATTTTACGGATCTCTACAATGCATTTTAATTATATCCATTCCCCCGTCCCTCTCTCTAGTTCCCTCTTCTACCCTATCTCCTGCAGACCTCCAGACTCTCATTTTTCTTATAACCCACTAAGCCTAATTAGTGCTAGCATTTTACTAGTGGGTGTGGGGATCATCCAAAGGGTGGACAATGTTCCGGTGACCACTCTTCTGAGAAGAGTAATCCTTGTCCCAGTAGTCACAAACTGACTTTAACTCCTTCGTTAGGGATAGGGCCTCAGAAGCCTCCTTCCTATTCCAGAATTCGTTAGGGATAGGGCCTCAGAAGCCTCCTTCCTATTCCAGAATTGTTGATTGGATTGATTTTGTACAGGCCTTCTGTAGGTAACCAGGGCTGCTGTGAGCTGGTCTGTGTGCACTAGGTCATGTCCAGAAGACAGCTTCTCACAGCACTCTCCCCATCCTCAGGCTCACACATTCTATTCTCTCTCTCTTCTATACTGTTCCCTGAGCTTTGGCATGGAACGGTCTACCTCTTCTATGGCTAAGCACTCATAATCACTCTCTGCACTTTGAGCTGATGGCGTTTCTGCATCAATCACCACCCATTGCAGTCAAAATCTCTTCTGCCCAAGACTGAAAGCAGGGTCAATCTATGGGTATAAATATAAATATTTAGAAAGTGGTGGTTTGGTAACTGGACTACTAACAAAACAAATCAAAGGATTTCCGCTTTGAGTCTATGACTTCCCTAGTAATGATTTTTAACCATATTTACAGTGCCAGGAATGAATAATCTCCTGGGAAGCAGGTTTCAAATCTAATCATCAGTGTGATTGGTTGCCCCATAGACAGTCTTGCCACTCTTGCCCTAGCTGGTATCTCTAGCCTGGGATGTTGGATTTGTAGCCTGCAAGAGCCAGTACTAGGTAAAAGACAGACAAATTATTTAGGGGCTTATTCATTCCAGCTAAGTCACCCACAACAAATCAAAGAAATGATTCCACAGAAATATAGTTTATGAACTAATAGGCTCACTAGGGGTACATATAAAAACATATAGATCGATAAGGAGTTACTTTAAGACCATGGGTGACTGCATTGCCAAGAAGTCTACCATAACATGGGCCAATAATATAGAAAGACTCTGTCTCCAGAACTCCCTACATGGTGTGCAAGTAGTTCATCTGGTTGAAGAGTCTCTCAACCCCAGTAATTGTTATTATTTATATGACACTGGGGAGAGGCCTATAAATATTATATCTTTCATTGACTTCTTGAGTCTTTAAGTTTCAATCACTCTCTGTGCCTTGTATGATTTGTTTAATTTCTGACTCTTATAAGGCTTCCTCCTCCGCCAAGGAAATAATACTTCATTATGGAGGAAACTGCTACATAACATTCTTCCTCTAGTTCAGCAGTCCTCAACCTGTGCACAGCCCCCTTGGAGGTTGCATATCATATATTTACATTCATCCTGCATATCATATATTTACATACAATTCACAAGAGTAGAAAAACTGCAGTTATGAAGTAGCCACACAATAATTTTATGATGGGAAGGGGGGGTCACCGCAACCTGAGGAACTGTACTAAAGGGTCACAGCTTTAAGAAGTTTAAGAACGACAGCTCTGTTTCTCAGGTTCTTTCTGCTCTATCTTCTGAACTGCTTCCTCTTCCTTGAAGGTAGTGATACACATGCCTGATCAATTTTATCCACCTATGACAAAATATGCATCACTACTACCACAGTGACTGTCACTAAATTTTAGGAACTTGACCAGTCTTTCAGTATACCAACTGCTAAAAATAAGTGTCCCTCTAGGACTGTAGCTGTAGCAATCTATGAACCTAAGTATAAATAACTGGGATGCTATTTGCTAGTCATACCATAACTATTTATCAAATAATAGCAGTGACCTTCCAAGCCACTGACGTTTGACTTTTCCTTCCGATCAGAAAGCATCATATTGGACCATAGTAGTCTTGTCATGTCTGCACCTGCAGGCACATCGTATCAGGCAAGTTGGGACCACAGCAAACAAGGTCCATGCTGAACAGGACCATTGACAACAATTCTCCCTTAGTAGCCTACACAGTTCTTCCTGGCACTAAGGAAAGCCAGTAAGCAGGTGAGAGGGTCCAGCTTGGTCTCAACTTCATCTCTCCATGCCCTGTAGCAAAGGAAGCAGTGTCTTCAACAACATGGATTTGTCACCTGGTTTGAGCCTGTAATTGATAGTGGTGGGTAATAGCCTTTGGTTTCTAGAGCCTCAGGGGCCTCCCTGGTCAACAATTAATAGAATAGTAACCTGGCCCTGGCATTAGGGTTTTCATCCAACCTCTGGTTCTTGCCTATCTTTTTCTGCCTTCAATGACATCTTTGTTCAAACTCTGTTTTAATGTTCATCTTGACACTTTCCTAAATCAATAAGAAAAATCAAAGTTTGTAATTATACAAAGAAACATTTTAAAGAAGATGGGCAGGATCTGTAAAGGTGGACTGTCATCTATTCGAGACGGCACATGTTCCTGGCTAATGAGATACAAAAAAGAAACATTAGAAAAGAGTCTCAGTGCAGAAAGAAACTACTCTTAAGGGTAGGCTGCAAGCTCAGCAATAGACAGACAACAGAAAATGACATCAGTGGCATCTTTAAAGAGTCCTTGTCTCATAATGTTGTGCCAGGGCTCTTTTTAAATTTTCATCGTATTAATTTTTTTCAGTGTAATTCTTTTTCTTCCCGCTTTTTACCCTATGGAATCTTTGTGTATCTATTGTGGCTTCCAGTTTAGTGTTTTTGTGGGATTCCTGAGTGTATGAATGAGTGAGTCTCTGCTTGGGCTCTTTTTCTTCTGTTTATTTATTATTATTATTGTTATTCAATTCCAGTATGTTGGGTTTTGTCTTATCTTGTTAT